ATACCCCAGACCAAGTTTGCAAAAGTCAGAATTCCGGGATAAGCATCATAGAGCATATTGTGCTTACCGGAATTCCCGTGAGCAAAATATTATCTATGATACCCCAGCTTGCCTTACGCGGTTATGCAATCCTGCATAACCCTGTAACAGGATATAATGCAGGCAAACAACAAGGCGAGCTGTTGATCGTAAAAGTCCTCATAATTACAAATTGGAACTATTAAGTAAATGTGAGTCTTTTCGACCACTTAGGGTAAAAAAGACCCTGCCAGACTCATTACTGTCTGGACATCAAAATTAGCCAAAACTTGGTGGCAATGACTGAACGCTACCTAACGCGGTTAAAGCGGAAAGCTAATTTACAGCTTTGGGGCATTTTTGCTCGATTGTAACTAAGATTTATGCACATACAAATTTGAATTAGACATGGCACACCAAGTAGGAAGAGGTACATTCCTCTGTGATCAACATCTTGAATGTCCGAGAAGGAACAAAGAAATAAAACTTGTCTGGCGTTCTTTTTTAATCTGCTGTTTTGGCGGATGCAGTCCGACTGGTTTCATATTGTTTGACGATTTTTCCTAAAGTCAGGTAGATTTTGTGAAGTTGGTTAAAACTGTATGTGGGGAGCCTTTAGCGTGAGTATCTTGTCAACTGAACACGACTCACTAGAAACTATTCTCTAGTCACACTGCAATGCAGGGTATAAAATCAATTTGGCAAGGCCGACTCTCACGACCTGACCGATAGCAGAATCAAATGAGGGAACAAACTAAACAGCCAACGAAAAGGTAGTGTAGAGACTATAATTAGAACAAAATAAATGCACAAAGGGCAAGCGCACGGATATATCTGCCACTGAGGTATTTACCTCGAACGGGTTTTGTCTTGGCAGTCGCCGAAAGTATTGATTCTGAGCCCACAACCAGGGGTTCCACGGAGAGTTCTAATACACCGGGCCTGGGATTTGGAGGGAGACATCTGGTATCTCTCGCCGAGGGGGGTTTCGAGTAAATCTCCGAAGAGTCCGCCTCAGGAGTCAATGGCTCTTCCTCCTCAGGTGAAACTTCCATGATCTAAACGAAAGTCAGCATTGTAATCGTAATAACTGAAACTCACAACTACAAAACATGGTCTTCAGTTAAGATAGTATCAATAGCTAATTACTGTGTACTTCAAAAATGTTTAATAAGAAATGGACAGAAGGTATTTAGGCTAAAATCTGGTACAGAGAATCAGATGGAATATTGTTTAGGATATCCTCACGGACGGTTAACTTTTAGTCTATTGCCGTGGTCAGGAGAGAGTGCGAAAGTTTTTCAGTCACTGACTAAAATATTATCATTCCTTGGCCACAAGTTTACAAGTTAAACCAGGTTATTTAAAGAAATTGTAAACCAGGCTGTACAGCGATATACCACTTTCGATAAAAAAAATTAATTCCTGGAGTGCTAAGCAATCAAATTTAACAGAATATGGTGGCCGCCTGTTAGGTGAAATTGAAAGTTGTTTCACAAGGAGAAGCGCTTGGAACTCCTGAGCAAAACGCATCTCAAGGGCAGTCCATTGGGCGATTGAAGTGTCGTAGAAAAAGAGCAAATTTATTTCCAGAAAGAAGTTTTTCCATTAACTGCCAAAGACCTCATTAGCGTGAATTAGTTGCAGACATCAGTTGAACGTAGTAGCGGCCACGGTCATTAATGTTTGACTTCAATGTATGGAATAGAGTTGTAGCAAGATAGAGTTTTAGCAAGTTCGAGTTAAAAGAATGCAGGTCCAAGTAGAAACACAAGTAGTGAGTGAAAGACCAATTACTAAATGTCAGAGACAAACCGGAGGTACGGTGAAACGTGGATGTTTTGGAGTTATCCTACGTTGTTCATCACACACCAGTTTGTTGAGGGTGTCTAATACACGGTTTCAGATTGGGAAAAACTGATGTCTAGCGAGCTAATCCTAAGGATGTGGACACAAAACCTCAGCAATCGTGCAGCCATAGCCAATGCAAATGACTGAACTTTCAGTCAGATTATGACCTGAAAAGCTGCGGCGTTAAGGGAAGTTTTCACATCTGCTGCAATAACATATAATGGTCCCCTTGAAAACTTTTCTAAGTTTAAACACTCAGTAAGCGTCAAAAGCATTGGAAAGATCAAAATAAGGACTTCGGTCATTTTCAGGCTCTCTCATTGAATCTAATTAACTTTCTTGCATTCTAGTATAGATCCATTTCGCAAGGCTTAAGATAAAGTAGAAATATATTGCAGCTAAGGCCTGCACCAAAGCTCAGTGAAGTTTTATTTTTCGCTTTAGAATCCTCTGTCCGCCAAATTTTGAAAAACAGCAAACACTGATCCAAGCCAGCGAGTTGAGAATACGTGACAAAATGTTTGTGCTGAAGTCGAGGTTCTTGCGAAAGTATAGTGGTGACAAGTCAATGTGCACCGAACTGGCTGCCTGTGGTTGACTGGCCGGCTGGAGCCGTGGTGCATTCTGTGGGCGTATGTGGGTGTTCCTAGGCTTTGTGAAGTAAACTATCTTACCTGTCTTACTGACGTGTTCAGCATCAATCATAGGGGTGTCTAATTGGTCATACACTGCCCTCTGTTAGAAAACCGTTAGAAATACACCAAAGCCAAAGGATTTGAAAGAATTTTGCCTAAAATTTCAGCTTGACTGGTCGTCTAAGGCTTGAGACAGAGGAAACTGTATAACTTTGTGTAGGAAGCAGATAATTTATATCAAATTAAGATTCCTTTACTAACCAAAGCTTCCAGAGATTTTCAAAAGCAGCCAAAATTACGAAAGAATTGCATGAATGAATGGCGCGGACCCTGTGCTGAACAATTAGACCTGAATGCGTGAGGAAATACTATGCTGTGTTCTGCTTTAAGCTTCTTTTTGGAGCCCTCGTAGGTAGTTGCCTAGGGTCCAAAACTAGGCAGCTATTAACGACGAAGGCAGAAGAAACTAGATTAAGTATTTTTGGATTGTTTGCAGTGATCCGACCTAACCCATAGGCTTTAACTCTGCGACATTAATCGCAAGCCTTGTTCCCCTAACTCACTGCTCAGATTAAACTGTCATTAATGCGCTGTGTTTCGAAAGTTTACTGAATAAACTATCAGAGTTTAATCAAATGTAGTTAGAATGAAGACCGTGGAATGTTCATCAATTAGTCAATTACAAGCTGAGGTTTAAGTGGACGTTCTAGTACTCTGAGGCTAGCAGTAACCCCGAGTGTATAGAATAATGGAAGACTTTACAAAATATACTAATCTTTTATGCACACATATCAAGCTACAATATCATAATAGTAAAGAGACGGAAATTATGAAGGTATCTAAAATGTTAACAGATGTCCAAGTAAGAACACACAATTAAGGGTATTAGCGGCATGCATAATACCTGTAGGCACTCCTCGTCATCTAATAGCTTTTTGTATCTTTTGCCAAATAAGCTATCCATTCCAGCTACAAGAAATCGGATAAACGTATGCGCGGCTGAAAAGAAAGGAAAGGCAAGCCTTATCAATGAAGTACTCTTTAATCAAACACTGGCAATAATGATCACGTATATCATCATAGCAAGAGGATATGCTGTGAAGCTTAAGGATGCTTTTGCAACCGTAACCATCTTTAGGGATCAATAGGTTCGCAATAATTATCAGAAAGCGAAAACTTTAGCTGAGTGCTAGGACGTCCGATGTCATTTCAAGCCACAGTCTAAGCTTCGCGGAACGCATGATGAGCTGTACTCAAAAGCTTAACATAGCGGCTTTCAGTTAAAATATTTCAGGGACCAACTTTTATTTCCACAGAAATTAGTGTGGTAGAAGCATCTATCTTTAACAATCCTCGCAAATGCGTCACGTTGCAAACGAAAGTCGATGAAGGACCTGCCTGTGATTTTAGCTTTTTTTCTCGTTCTGAATAAAGTGAACCAAGTATGATTAAAATTTGAGTCATCTTTATGGAAATTAGTGAAAACTGAGAGAGTCAGCCCTTTTTTTATCAAATAGGTATTGTAAATCCTAAGTGATAGAAACGTAATTGAAGCGACACATTCAAGTGTATGCCTCAAAGTGTTTAATTTTGGAAGTCCTACCTCAAACCTTCACTTTATCCGCGAGCTAGTTCTATCGTTTTATAAAGTTCTGGGATTTCACAGGTGAGGTGCCTGATCACATCTAGTTCAGAGGCGTCGCAGATCCCATACCCAGTAGGGCGGCAAAACCGTGTTTTATTGTATCGTAATAGAAAACGTCGAGTTGTCGGTGTATTTCAATGATCACTTTTAGAAGATGACAACAATACTTGCTAGCCCTACCCACAAGATGATTGGACTTGCTTTCTCAAAATACTTTCCGGAACTTCTAATGGTCATTGTGATAATTCTTACAAGTCCATCTAGCGATACAAATCGAATAGATCGTGCGCTTCTGTTGATTTCTGTTTAGCAAAATATGTTGATCGATGCCTTTTTCTAATACCTACCTACTGTGAAAAATAGATGTTGTTCAGTAGCTATTATTTTTGAAGGCTACTTGTGATAAGACCTGTCTAATAACTGGGAGGAACAAAACCAGCCGCAAAACCATATCAATTTCAAAAAAGGTAATCCTAAAATACGTCCGAATATCCTTACGTTTTTTGTTTACATTATGAATAAGTAGGTCGCACAAGTAGCAATAATAAAAATGCGACAGAAAAATTCACATTTATTAAGGACTGATGTATGCCAAGGCAAAGTCGGGTATTCTTAATGTCTGACTCATATACCCCATGCCACTTTCATCGACTGCGCTATATTATGCAGAAAATGGTGAAGTGCAGTAGATACGGCTCAATAAATAGCTCCAATGGGCTGCTATGAATTTCATCGAACACAAATAACAGATTTAGTTTTACCATGAACATACCAAGAAAATTAACAAATGCGCATAATATCACAACAACTGTCTTTAGGCTACAATAGCATTCAAATCGGAATATAAATGCGTAAAGTTTACCAATACGTTACTTATTCAACACACATCGCATTACATTAAAGTAAACACGTCAGTAGCCGAAAGAGGACTCTGAAGGCTAAATTTTGAAGCATAATGACAATAAATACAGGATTAATACGAAAAAGAACGAGAAAATAGCAAATACGAAGCTTGTGCTATGACTAACTTATAAAGACAGGTTGTCTAGGTAAAAAAATTTGTAGTCACATGTTTCTCTGATGACAGTTACTCTTCCTAGAGGTAAATAAAAGAAATAAAACAGGAAATTTCGTTCGAAATTACATAATTTATCTCGGTTCAAAATTTTCGGCAAGTTTATCGGCTTTAGGGAAGAAAATACATTGACTTGGATACCATATCTCCAACTTAATTAAAAAGTGATACACGAAAGGTCTTTTATTGTATCTATAGAATGTGCTATCGTATACAATTTCCTGAAACTCTGAAAGTTGCATACTTGCAGGAAGGCAGTGACAGAAAAAATAATTCAGTAGAGGCCTGTGGAAAAGACGGTTAAAGCTAATAAAAAACACCTTTGATTAGGCATCGTTATATTTTTTGTTTTGCAGCTATTAACTGTCCCACAGTTTTCTGGAGTTTATTCTCTGTAGTAACTGACCAACAAAATTAAGTATGGTTTGTGTCTAAGTCACAATAAACTCCAAGGTATTTTGATTTAGTCACGGACCATTTAATACTCCCACACAATCTTCTAGTTCCTTTTGTGAACGCCACCATGTACATTTAATTTTTATACTTATTGTATAGTTATATACATTTTAAACTTTAAGAAGCTGTCTAGAATGGTTCCTTGTTAACCAGCTTCTGAACATATGAACTGTACTGTTAAATGTCCCTAAATGTACTATACGTGTTTACAATAAGATCGTTTTTGAATTTACCAAAATTAACATTGACAAATAACTTCAGTTACTGTCCATAGGTAGAGTAAACTAGTTATGGCTATCTCATCAGCCTAGTCATGCAGTGTTGTTTTTCACAGGCCTCAGATTTCATACCTTTGTTTGGCCAGGTCATTGGTAATTTAGAAAGCGGTATTAT